TCAGCAAAGCTAACAAATACGTTTTTCCCATAAAAAATGTTTTGAGTCAATCATTATAAACGTTATAATGATTGACTAAATATAGTGCCCTTGAATTGAATGCATACTCATCTTATTCACCCCTTCCTTTCTATTACTATAACACTATGTATGAATAGTTGCTCTCTATATAATCACATTTGGCATTATTTTGGCACTTTCTGCCTTTGCTGATCTATAGTATTAATTTTTAAACCATTTAGTTAAAGTTATAATTTGATATCACATAAAATATTTATTAAATTATGTTTAAAAATTTCACAACAAATTATGATTAGATCTGCAAACCATTGGCCACCCCTTCCTTTCTATTACTATAACACTATGTATGAATAGTTGCTCTCTATATAATCACATTTGGCATTATTTTGGCACTTTCTGCCTTTCATGATCTAGAGAATAGAAATAAATCGATAATTTGTTGTAAATTTAAGAAAAAGTCAAATTTACAGTATATTTAGTTGAAACGAGATATATCTAAATGCTTGTTAACATGTGATAAATGTAGTAAAAATGAAATAATATCTACAATTAAAATGTATGACATCTAAAATTGTTACGATTGAAACACTCTTAACTTGTTTGACACAATTTTAAATTGTAATAAATATTGTGTTAAATAGATTGGAAAAGCGAGCGGAAAGTTAAGGACTTTTATAATTGAGCCCTTTTTGCCGCACAAACAAGAGGAAGAGGCCTATATCTGTATCTATTCTCACCGTTCGGGCGATACTATACTTTTCCATCACGAGGGAGGCGTCGATATCGGAGATGTGGACTCCAAAGCGCTCAAAGTGGACATTCCTATCGACACACAACTCACCGACAGTCAAGTGAAACAACTCCTGAAGAATATACCGGCGGATAAACTCGAAATTGTGTCCAAATTTGTGCACGACTTGTATCGGGTTTATGTCGACCTCTACTTCACGTATTTGGAGATCAATCCATTGGGTATTAAAACAGACAATAAATTTAAAAAACTGGTTTCTAATGTGTTGTTTGTATTGAAACAGTTGTCACAAAGAATTCAATAAATATTCTGGATTTGGCGGCGAAGTTAGACTCGACCGCAGAATTTATTTGCAAACAAAAATGGGGTGAATTTGAATACCCGCCCCCTTTCGGTCGCGACGCCTTCCCCGAAGAGGCATACATTGCCGACTTGGACGCCAAATCGGGTGCCAGTCTTAAGCTGACCATTTTGAACAAGAGTGGCCGCATCTGGACAATGGTCGCCGGCGGCGGCGCGTCTGTCATCTACGCGGACACCATCTGCGAGTTGGGCGGCGCCGCAGAACTGGCCAATTATGGCGAATACTCGGGCGCTCCGAGCGAACAGCAGACCTACGAATACGCGAAGACTATACTGACTCTAATGACTAAAGAGAAACACCCGAACGGAAAGTTACTGTTGATCGGCGGCGGAATCGCTAACTTCACTAACGTTGCCGCGACTTTCAAAGGCATTGTCAAAGCGTTGCGCGAATTCCAGACCAAACTCATCGAACACAGCGTCCAGATATTTGTCCGCCGCGCCGGACCTAACTATCAGGAGGGCCTACGGGTTATGCGCGAGACCGGCAACACTCTGGGCGTTCCCGTCCACGTGTTCGGACCCGAGACACACATGACTGCTATCGTGGCGATGGCTCTCCAGAAGAAAGACATTCCCGAATTGCCCGAATCGAAGGTAACGACAGCTAATTTTTTATTGCCCGGTAATATTCACGGCAATAACGGACAGAATGAAGACTCGGGCAACAATTCCGGTCAGACCGGGTTCAACGGCCCGCACTCTGACGCCAACTCTAACGCCGTGAACGCCACCACTGGTGACGCCTCCAAACCGCTGTTCAGTCCGACCACCAAATCGATTGTGTGGGGAATGCAGACCCGAGCCGTTCAGTCGATGCTTGACTTTGACTTTGTCTGCTCTCGCAAAGAGTGGTCAGTGGCCGCTCTGGTCTACCCGTTCACCGGTGACCACAAGCAGAAGTTCTATTGGGGACACAAAGAGATTCTGATTCCCGTCTACAAGAATATGGCCGACGCCATGAGGAAACACCCGGACGTTGACGTCATGATTAGCTTTGCGTCGCTTCGGTCCGCTTATGACAGCACTCTGGAGACACTACAGTTCCCGCAGATCCGTACCATCGCTATCATTGCCGAAGGAATTCCCGAAAATATGACCCGAAAGATGAACAAAGAGGCGGCACTGAAGGGCGTCACTATCATAGGTCCGGCCACTGTTGGGGGCATAAAACCCGGTTGTTTTAAGATCGGAAACACCGGTGGAATGATGGACAACCTGTTGGCGTCGATGTTGTACAGACCGGGTAGTGTGGCGTATGTCTCCCGATCGGGCGGTATGTCCAACGAGTTGAATAACATCATCTCGAGGGCGACAAACGGCGTGTACGAAGGCGTGGCCATCGGTGGCGACCGATATCCGGGCACAACCTTTTTGGACCATTTGTTGCGCTACGAAAAGGATCCCAACATAAAAATGTTGGTTCTGTTGGGAGAGGTCGGCGGTGTGGAGGAGTACGATGTGTGCAGCTCTATCAAAGAGCGCCGCATCACAAAGCCAGTGGTCGCCTGGTGTATCGGCACCTGTGCCGGTATGTTTACCTCAGAGGTGCAGTTCGGTCACGCGGGCGCCTGCGCTAACAGCGACCGCGAGACAGCGCTGGCCAAGAATCGGGCGCTCGCCGAGGCTGGCGTTCACGTGCCCAACACTTTCGACGACTTGGGCAACACTATCCGACGCGTGTATCAGGAGTTAGTACAAAACAAAGTGATCGTACCTCAGGCCGAAGTTCCGCCGCCCACCGTTCCTATGGACTACCAGTGGGCGCGTGAGTTGGGTCTCATCCGAAAGCCGGCCTCATTTATGACCTCGATTTGCGACGAAAGGGGTCACGAGTTGTCGTATGCGGGCATTCCTATCACGACTGTCATCAAAGAAGAGTTGGGAATCGGCGGCACATTGTCTCTGCTGTGGTTCCAGCGCCGTCTGCCCACCTATGCGTCCAAATTTTTCGAAATGGTTTTAATGGTGACCGCAGATCACGGACCGGCCGTCTCCGGCGCCCACAACACGATTGTATGCGCCAGAGCTGGTAAGGACTTAGTGTCCTCTTTGGTGTCCGGACTGTTGACAATTGGCGACCGATTCGGTGGCGCTTTGGACGGCGCCGCGCGTCAGTTCAGCGAGGCTTACGATTCGGGTCTCATTCCACACGAATTCGTGAATCAGACCCGAAAACAGGGCGAACTTATTATGGGAATCGGACATCGAGTCAAGTCTATTAATAATCCCGATATGAGAGTTAAACTCATGAAGGATTACGTCAAACAGACATTCCCGTCGACACCGGTCTTAGACTATGCGCTGGAGGTCGAGAAGATCACAACTTCCAAAGTATTGTCACCTGTTTTTGAAGTACTATTGGATTGATTTGTGCTAATCATGTGTTTGTTTTGATAGAAACCGAATCTAATTCTAAACGTTGACGGAATCGTTGCGGTCTCTGTCGTCGATTTGCTCCGAAATAGCGGTTGCTTTACGAGAGAAGAGGCACAGGAATACATAGACATCGGTGTTCTCAACGGACTTTTTGTTTTGGGCCGAACTATCGGTTTTATCGGTTTGTTTTTTAATTAGTTTTACAACATTTTAATTTAATTCTTATAATTAATTAAATAACTGTTATCTTTAGGCCATTATTTGGATCAGAAGCGACTCAAACAGGGCTTATATCGTCACCCGTGGGATGACATCTCTTATGTCTTACCAGAGTCTCAAATGAGCACAAATTAGTAATTTTAATTTTAATCCATTGTTGAACAAAAGCAAATTTAAATCAAATATAGTTTTAATTTTAATGTTTATTTAAATTACTATTTATGTCTCAAATTAGAAGTAAGAAAACAAATGTTTCAACAAATTAATAACGAAAACATCGATTGAAAAGTCAAATACAATAACTAAATCACAATTGAATTCTTAGGATTTATTCAAATATTATATAAATATAATATAATTTCAGTCGACAATTGTTTCACTTATATTTTCCTATCATTTTTAGAGCATATTTTTTAAACCATTGATTGATTTTCACTCAATTTCTAATCAAATCTTTGATTTATTTCTCTTTTTTATTATTTATAAAAAGTTTTTCCAAATAAATATAAACAAAATATCTATTGAATGACTAAAATGGTTGTGAGTTTGAGGTCTTATTTAATTATAGAAAAAGTGCTCCAAAAGTTGGCAAAACAAATACTTAAATTGATGTCTCTTTATCTCTAAACAGTGGTTGTGATTCAAAATGAAAGAAATTATTATCGATTTGTCTATACTTTTTCGAGACACTGTTATCTCATTAGTCTATTATTAAAATTTTCAAATTAATTCTTGTATAGAAGTAGACATACGTTGAATGAATTAAATGATTATTAACTTATGATAACTTATAAGACATTTAAAAATATATATCGAAATAAATGTTATAGACTATAACTTATAGTAGAAATTGTCAGAAATCTATTTAAACAATACAAACAAAAACTATTTATTGAACATTTAAGAAAACTTTAACTATAAATGTAAACCTATTTTGAATCTAATTGTTAAATGCATGTGAATTGTAATTATGAGTTGACTGAATAAGAAAATGATTATTTCTCGGATGTTATTCTTTAAAGTGTGTAAAACTTTCTGAATATTCTGTGCCATTAAATCATATGTCAATCGATTATTATTGCTTACGTTTATTGATGTTGCGCTTAAGTCCCGCCTCCCATCCCATGGCCCGGAATTGCCGCAATTGTTAGACATCCCGTGCCATGTGTTGTCATTATTACTGCAATTAATAAATTTATTAATTTATGTTTAATTAAAAGTATAATGTAATACATTAAATATGATATATACAATTTTTTATACTAACAATTAATGTTTTTGAATTGTTTTCTCATTTAAAAGCTTCGAGAATTTGGAGTGAATTATAAAATTAACAATAAATTAGTGAAAATTGGTGCCCAAAACATACACAAAGTATAACATACACACGACTATTGCCGAGTAGTAATTATATTAGTAAATGGACGACAATTACAAACAAATTTTCAATATAAACAACTTTTCATGACTTCTTTCCATCTGTTGGACTCAATTCATGGCTTTTTATTAATTTTGAAGACATTTTTAATTATCTATTTAAAAATTAAACTTCCATTTAAACTAATTTTCATATTTTTTATATTAAAATAGTAGTGAATAAAGTAGTCGTTTGTTTAGGTTGTTATTTTAAATAACTATTTTTATACAATAAATTTGTTTTTGTTATGTTTTATAATTTAATAAAATTTAATTTTCAGTAGTAATGAAATGTTTGCTGTATTCACAGAATTTGTCGTACAATCGCCATATGATTGCAATTTTATGGCTTATAATTATAGCCATAAAATTTTATGTTCATATCGTAAATCAAAGACCGCAGCAATACATACATACATACTGTGCACCCGTTGTACTCCAATAAACATTTAACTCATTCAATAATATTCTTGAATTTTGATATTTATATACAATTTTTATGTTTCCATTCATCTCTTTATACATTATGTAAAACTCTATTTCATTTGAGAGTCATTTCAACGACTATACAATTAATAGCAAAACTCATAAAATAGAAAAAATTTTATGGATAGAAATGTTTTAAACCGTTCACTAAAATGATTATGATAACGTTAAAATCATGGATTAATAGTTTTTAATGGCATTTTGAAGCATAAATATTGTTGCACTTTTTTAACCACAATTCAACATGATGCTTGCGGTTTATTTACAATACAAGTACAGTATTTAAAACAATGATTTTTTGCATAATAAGTTAATATCTTTTCAATTATTTTATCGTTAAATGTTATGTATTTGAATAATGGCATCAATGATGAAAACTACATTGTATTTGGCAATGATATCAATAATCAACAATTAGTCAAATATTCTCAATATTTATGCCGGAATTCAATAACGAGTAAATTTAAAATTAAATGTCTGTTAAGAAGATTGAGAATATAAGTGGGAAAATAAAACACTTGAGCACAACTGACTCGTGAGATCAATATTATATATTCAATAACTTTAAAATCCTGAAGAACTTTAATGAATGATACAAATTGGAGAACAAAAATATTTAGAGTTTCAAATCAATTGTAAAATTGACTGCTTTTTTATTTGAATAATAATTTAATTAAAAAACATTAAATAATAAAAACTAAAAAATTGTATACAATATTAATAATATTAAAACAAGTTTTTGTTGTAAAAAAGAGATCATTATATCGTTTATATATTTGTATTGTTTTTCGTATCGAAATTCTCACAAAAATAATACCATCTTTTAATTTGTAAATAGATTTTCTCATTTGAGAAAACAATTCATAATTTATATAATTCTATGATTTGTGATGAAAATGAACACAAAATACATGATTTGGAATTAATACTGAAAAATAAGAGACAACTCGTGAGTGTGTTGTCTATACTTTGTATATAGTTTTTCATCCGATTTGATGATAGTTTGTCTCAAACTTTTTGCTCGTATTCCTCAACGCCTGGCGTTTATTACAGAACCAAACTCTGACCACTTCTCTCTCGTAATTCAGTTGTTCCGACAGTTCTGTCATTTCAGAACCGGTCGGATGTGTGTTCTTCTCGAAGAATATGTTCAACAATTCCAACGCATTGGGTGTGAAAGACGTCCGCCGTTTCCTCTTCTTACTGGACTCACTGCCGATGAATTCAGTCAACGTTTGGTTCCCATTCTTATACCTTTCCTCCGCTTCTTTCATCCAATTTTCTAAAACCGGTTTTATTTTTTGTGCACTTTTTGGCGTTATATCCAGTTTCTCGAATCTGTCCATTCGTTCAGCAATACAATTGGGTTTCAATATTCAAATTCATTTCACATTTCATTTCATTTCATTTCAAAGCCAATAATTACCTGCAAATCGCACTTTGACTATAAGAGGGCCCTTCGGTGGCGCTCAACGCCTGTCCCACTTGTGTTTGGGTTAACCCTAAGGACAAGCGCCTGATTTTGAAGGCTTTGGCAAAATCTTTGATTTCTTCCAAATTAATTCCGTCCACAATATTGGCCTCAGTATTACTGATCGTATCTATCATTCAATACACAAAACAAATTCATATCAAATTGAAACACAAATTAAATATTATGCAAACCTTTATTGGGAAGATTGCAATGAGTGGTGGACTCGGCCTCCATGTGATTGGACGACGAAGACGGCGATGAGGTCTGACTTTGAACCGATACCTTATCTCCGGCCGCGATATCAGTGGTGTTTTCGAGCGAATGACTAGTATTTTCCTGAACTGTCGCTGAATTGTCCAACGATTGAGGTCTGGAAGTGGTCGACGAGACAATGATCTGAGTGGTGGACACATTGGACGGCGAACTCGACGCCCGCGTCTGAGTCTGGGATTCACTGGATTTAATATTTTGTTGCTCTGACTGTTGTTTCTGTTGGAGAAGTAGTTGCTGTTGAATGAGCTGTTGTTGCGCTACGAGTTTGTTGTGATCTTCTTGTTGTTGGTGTTGTTGGACGAGAGCCGCCGTATTGGCCATCACTTGCGGCTGTTGTGCAACCATTTGTTGTGCCATTTGTTGTACGTATGGCTGAGCGGTGATCTGTATGTATTGAGTGGTGCCGTTGGGAGCCGTTTGCTGTGCGATCATTGGCTGTTGTATGGGTTGACCGGCGATCTGTGGTGTGATGGCGAACATCTGTCCGGCAGAGTTGGTCACAATCTGTGTCTGAAGAGGTATGGATGGGGCGGACGGTTGAGCGCCCGTCACAATGATATTGCCGTTTGATGTCTGGTATTGTGTTGAGTATTGTTGAGGCGTTTGTGTGGCGTTGATCTGAGGGGACGGAGCCGTCACTCCCATGGCCTGCAAATTGGCTAAAGTAGTGGTAATGACCTGACCGTTGGACAGCACGAGTTGAACCATTTGATTGGCTGACGCGTTGGCCGCCGTCTGAACGCTCACACCATTGGCTGACATTTGTTGGCTGAGAGCGGCGTTGGTCTGAATGAGGACCTGCTGTCCACCGACTGTTTGAACCGCTTGATAGCCGTGAGGAATGCCAGCGATGGCAGTGCCGGCGCCGGCAGCGGATCCCTGGGTTGATATCACATATTGAGTGGTCGGCTGAGCGGTCATCACATTCTGTGAGCACAAGTGTTGCTGCAATTGTTGCAGAAGTTGAGGTGTGAGAGCGCCGGATGTGCTAATGATTTGCTGCTGTTGTTGGACACCAGTGGCCGACGGACTGGCGATATATGAGATACCGTTGGCGGCTGTCATGATCTGTTGCTGAGGTATTGCCATGACATGAGTGCCGCCACTGACCACACCATTGGTCTGTTGTCCTGCGGTGTGACTCGCGTACGAAGTCTGCGGGAAATGCATCCCTCGATCGCTCTCTACTTCTTCGCTATCTCTTCACTCTATCTCTTGGTTTCCTTTCCATTGGATTCCATGTCTGGAGAACTCAATGGACTTTATATCCAGTTTTTTTGGGCTAAACACCAGTCGATAGGAGTTTTGAAATATATTTCTATAACTAATTAATGAGAGAAATATATTTCATATAACGTTATATTCTATGGCTTTTGAGTGACAATCAAATCCATTGCGAGTTTGAAAAGAGAAATGTTTTGTTTGAATAAATCGCTCGAAAAATGTTTGAATAGTTGAGAGAAAAATATTGATTTCACTCGTGTTTAGTGCTGTGGTATAGATGTAAGAGTGAGAGCAACACAAACAACACATACATCAGTGGAGAGAGACTGAGGGCTGCTTCAGGACTGGCTTCAGATCAATGCAATTAAGTGTTGTGTCTGAGGAGGGAATGGGCTTTGAAAATAGGCATAGAGTGGAGGCAAACAGAGTATAATGTAATGGGAAAGGGAGGGAGAGCTGGGAATGGGAGAGAATTATAGAGAGAGCGGGGATTCAGTGGGAGAGAGACGAGAGAGACAAGAGAGAGGAGAGAACTGAGGCATTACTTCAACCACACCTTCCCTTCTGATGGCTCTTTGCCTGACTTCCAACAACTCCACGATTAGGTCTCTGCAAAAATATATGCAAATTTTCAGTGCTTTTCCTATCAAAGCAATCATTATCTCAATTCTGATTCGTGTTTTCATTCATTATTATTTTTATATCCAATTCACTCTCTATTTTGTCGTAAAATACTTCACTAAACCCTATAAAAATAGTTTCGCGAATTTTATATCGTTTTTTCCATAGGATTCTCCTCTCTTTCGTCGCAAATATTGCTTCAATTATTTTTAACGCTTCAAAGAGTGAGTCATTTTTTAGAGTTAAACGAAAATTCAACAAAAATTCAACAGAATATCAAAAACTGATTTGAATTTTGTAGGGAAAGAGAGAGAGAGAGAGAGAGAGAGAGAGAGAGAGTCTTTCAAAATCATTTGCTTCAACTATTCATACATTTAAAACTACTAAACACTGAGAAAATCGGCAGAACGAGTAAAAGAGGATTTGTATTATTAAAGTTTTGAAAAGTTATTATGTTTTTTAATGTTGAATATAATGGAGAAATTGTGTCGAAGAAAAAAGACGGCAAACTTATAATAGAAGAGACAAATAATGAATTCATTAATTTTTGCTCAAAAGAAAAATATGTACATAAAAATTGTTTTGCATAAACATATCCTGACATCAATTCACAGCTTCGGGCCATTTAATGATGACTGACTCCCTCTGAAATAAATGCCCTGTGTTTTTGAAATGACAGGAAAAATATTAATGATGGTTAAGTGATAGGGTCTGCGGAGAGAGAGAGAGAGAGAGAGAGAGAGAGAGAGAGATTATGTGTTGTTTGTGTTGCTCTCACTCTTACATCTATACCACAGCACTAAACACGAGTGAGAGAGAGAGAGAGAGAGAGAGAGAATGGATGCTCTCTATGTATGTATCTATCTATAGGTGCGGTGACGAAGAAATTGGTGGTGTGTAGAGAAGCGATGGTAAAAATGTTGGGTTCAGATACATATGCAGTACACTATACGCCGGCATATATTATTCACACAAGTGTTAGGGCTGAGCCCCAAAAGCCCCCGACTGTCATATTTTGTGCTCAACACTCATAAGTTATGAGGTTTTTGAGGATTTTTGAGCACAATTTTTGGGAAAGAATTTTCATTTTTCTGATAGATAGGGGAGAGAGTGAACGAGAGAGCCATAAATTACAAGTTTCATAAATGTATGGCAAAAGTCTATGTCCTTTGGCCTCGAAATTGTGGTCAACACAACAGACAAACAACACATTTTCACTCAAACTTTTTGTGTTATAGAAAAATACATCCCAAAAGTCAAACTGAAAAGTTTATTCTCCCATTGAATTCCCCGTTTGCTTAAGAAATCTCACGGATTGTGTGTCAAATGCTGTCATTGGTAACAGTTTATGACAAATGTTTAAGAAGTTTTATAATTTATGAAATTATAATAAATGAAAATCAAATCCACTTAAAGTTATTGTCGGATTGAATGTGCAAAATAAAAACAAAATACATAAAAATTATCAAAAACTTATTTTAAAATACAATACTTCTTCGAAAACTGATTGTAACGCATATTTTAGGGGAAAATTTCAATTTTTGTAAAACTCATAAATTATTGATAAGAAGAAGAGGGAAATAATGCAATGATTAATGTTTTTCATGTCATTCAGTGGTCCCTATTCTGTGATCAGAGATTTCTTCTCAACAGACATGAAAACCCAATGCATTCATGCAATCGATTATTCAAATTCTCGATTCATTGCATTGTATTATAGTTTATATCGATTTTTAAAATCCTTTAATACTATCGTTAAGAATCTCATGGCTTTCACAACACTTTCGCTATCGTCTCTCTTAACGAAATGAAATCAATGGAAAATATATTTTAATACAAATCCTCTTTTAAACATAAGAACAAACTTATGATATAATCTCAATGTTATTATCAATGGGAGGGACCGTATGGAGGAAAGGGATGATGGGCTAACACAGACTACTGATAAATTAATTAATATCGTATAAAATTCATATAAAACTTAAATTTTTTAAACAAAATTCTATAACCCCTCAAAACAAGCAAAATCTTTTGGTCCCCAAAACAACCCCCACTTCTGCCCCCCTATAGCGATGACTGACATAAGTCTCTGTCATAGAAATAAATCTCTAGTTTTTAGAGATAAATATAATAATAAATAATTCAAACATTTCGTTGTGAATGTGTATTCACAGGCATTGAATGCAATAAATCTTATTTTTAAAAACTAAAAAAAAACAACAAAAATAATGCTTATACTTCACGATATGATTGAACTTTTTATAAATATTATACTATATTTTTAAATTTATTATACTATATTTACAAATATTTTAATTTAATTAATATTTCAATAATTAATGTAATAATAATTATTTGCAGACAATCATAACGCATAAATATTTCACTTGATATTTCGTTAGACACCAATAGACACAAGAATTTTATTATTAAACGTGAAAAATATTTGTATGTTTTGTATTAAACATAGCAATAATTGATAAAGTTTATTTTTGCACTCAATATTATCGGTATCACTGACTCTTATCGTTCAGAACAAATAATATTTAAATTGAATTCATAATAAGGCCATAAAATGTTGTATCATTGAAATCAAACCACCATTAATTCAATAGAAATTCATGCACTGGACTACAGATCCGTTTCACTCGTATATAAGTTATAATATTATTCCAATTCAATGCATATATAATGGTTTCAATTGACAAATATTTACCATTAGTTTATAAAATCAATTAAACAAACATATCGTTTGAAGTGGAATACAGTATAGACAAAATGAAAAATGTGCATGATCATTTTTTAGATTACATTTAATTACATAGCATGTAATATTCTATCTTATATCATCTAATAATTACATTAGAATAGGATAATAAAATAATAGAATAAAAGAATTTAATAGAATCTATTCTTAAAATTTTATTAAGCTTACTAATTATTTTAATTTTGTAATTGTTTTTGTATTCATTAATATTTTTAATAAAGAAATTCTTTTAGTGGTGGTTTAAAAAACTGCATTTTTATGAATATTTTTACAAATATATCTTTTTGAGACTTTTCAAAACTTTTCTGTTTGAAAACAAAATCGGAAAAATAAAACAGTAATATATTTTGAGTCCATTCGGAGTCCTAAATCTAATGCTATATAATTCACTGTGTAATTAACTAATTTTATTGGGATCTCTCTCTCTCTCTCTCTCTCTCTCTCTCTCTCT